TTCGAACGAATGATGGACTCCCTGCTCAGAGGATTCAAATGGTCCACATGTTTGTGCTACTTGGACGACGTCATCGTCTTTTCACCAACGTTTGAAACTCACATAGAACGCCTCTCAGCCATCCTGGGAATCTTCCGTCGCGCTGGCCTGCAGCTCAACTCGTCCAAATGTCACTTTGGACGCCATCAAATCGCAGTGCTTGGCCATTTAGTAGACGCCAACGGTGTACAACCAGACCCGGCAAAAATCAGCGCCGTCAAAAACTTTCCTGTACCACGATCTGCGAAGGATGTACGCAGCTTTATCGGACTATGCTCCTACTTCCGACGCTTCGTGAAAAATTTTGCGCACATAGCGAGGCCGCTTACGCAGCTCCTCAAGAAAGAAGTCCCGTTTTCATGGGGCTCCGAAGAGGCTTCTGCGTTCTCGACTCTCGTCGCTCTTCTCACTACCCCTCCGATTCTGGCACACTTCAACCCTGCTGCCCCTACGGAAATCCGTACAGATGCAAGTGGGCATGGCATTGGTGCAGTGCTGGCTCAGAAACAACATGGCCATGATTGCGTTATTGCATATGCCAGCCGCCTCCTATCCGCCCCTGAACGTAACTATTCGATAACAGAGCGTGAGTGCTTAGCTCTTGTATGGGCGGTGGCGAAATTTCGACCTTATCTATACGGACGCCCATTTTCAGTAGTTACCGACCACCACGCACTCTGCTGGCTGAACTCTCTGAAAGATCCATCAGGCCGCCTTGGTCGCTGGGCTTTGCGCCTGCAAGAGTTTTCCTATTCGGTGGTCTACAAATCTGGCCACCTACACCGTGATGCCGATTGCCTCTCCCGGTACCCTGTCGACGATCCTGAGGACACCGACGAGCCCACGGAGAACTCTATCTTGTCAGTGTCCGACTTCCTTAATATTGGGGAAGAACAGAAGCGTGATCCAGAGCTGCTTGACATCATCAGCCGTATGGAATCCTCCACAAATGATGCTTCCATCCGCTACTTTGTCATTCAAAAGGGTGTGCTATACCGTCGCAATTTCCGACTAGACGGGCCCGACCTTCTCATTGTTGTGCCTAAGCATTTGCGCCGCTGTGTTCTCACCGAACTTCACGACGCTCCCACAGCTGGACACCTTGGCGTATCCCGCACGTACGAGCGCGTCCGGCGCCGTTTTTTCTGGCCAGGCCTTGCTCGTTCGGTACGCCGATACGTCGCCACATGTGACCTATGCCAACGTCGTAAGACACCATCGCTGCTACCCGCTGGCCATCTTCAACCAATTGACATACCCGCGGAACCATTTTACCGTGTTGGGTTAGACCTGCTTGGTCCTTTTCCCACATCAACATTGGGAAACAAATGGATAGCCGTTATCACAGACTACGCTACACGCTACGCTATTACGCGAGCTCTACCGACCAGCTGTGCAACCGACGTCGCTGACTTCTTGTTACGGGACGTTATATTGATTCACGGTGCGCCGAGACAGCTTCTCACAGACCGTGGCCGTACATTTTTATCCCAAGTCATCGCCGACATTCTGCGTTCTTGTTCGACGCAACACACACTGACAACCGCTTACCACCCTCAAACAAACGGCCTTACGGAACGATTTAACCGCACTTTAACAAATATGCTCGCTATGTACGTGTCGCCCGACCACCGAGACTGGGACCTTGCCTTACCCTACGCAACTTTCGCGTATAATTCATCCCGTCACGACACAGCGGGCTTTTCGCCGTTCTACTTATTGTACGGAAGGGAGCCGACTTTACCACTGGACACAGTCATCTCAGCTCACACCTCGTCCACCAGCGAGTATGCCCGCGACGCGATTGCGCGAGCCGATCATGCCCGTCAGCTCGCTCGCGCTCGGCTGATGGCGTCGCAAACCAACCAATGCCGTCGGTACGATGCGGAACATAGAGACGTACATTTCGCTCCCGGTACCCTCGTTTTACTCTGGTCCCCTCATCGTCGGCTGGGCCTATCCGAAAAACTTCTGTCTCATTACACGGGACCCTATCGTATATTGCGTCAAGTAACACCTGTCACCTACGAGATCAGCCCCATCTGCCCATCATCATCTACTATGCGGCCCAGTGATATCGTACACGTCTCGCGGATCAAGCCCTACAATAATGCGTCGGATAACGACCTTTAAAGCACCGGGACGGTGCCTCCGCCGCCGGGGGTCATGCTACGTGCCAGTGCATGGAGCTGAAGAAGACGAAGCAGATAGACTGGCACGAGCTAATCTGTGTGGCTGGCGCTGCTCGCCTAACCGTCTGTAAATACATCGGTGACTACCCCTCTCCTTCACGTAACAATATGTTATGTGGTTGGTGGCTTATGTACAATCTATATACAGAAGAATAACTTAGGCAAGAGTCACTATAGATGATTGACACACTCGCGCACCTGTCAGCTTAGTCTGCCCTTCATCTTCTTTCACTTTATCTTCGTAACAATATGCACCCTAGATGGCGTGCTGTGTAATAGCATCCATTCTGACATTGCATACGGGAGAACACCTAGGAGGCACGTCGCGTTTTTCAATTGTGAAAAATGCGCCTTATTTTTCTAGCTTTAGTTGCTAGCATGCACGGTGATACGGGGGGGGGGGGGGGGGGTATACAAATAGGTGGTGGGGGGATGTGGGTCTACCTCATTGAACTCTCTCCCTTTTGGCTCTGATGTCGCAGCGCCTTCTCACTTTAGCACCGTAATACTGCAGCCGGCATATGTACTAAAGCCGAACATTATCTGGGTGCGGTCTCCGTCGTGGTGAGCGGAGAGTGTCCACACCTAAATTGTTTTTCTTACATTGTGTGTTTATTATTGGATGCTAGCAGATTCTACAATAATCTGTAAGGCGTGTCAGGTAATCTTGCAGGTAATCTGCGACAGTTAGGGTAAGGCAGCCTTTCACACGTACATGGTATTTGTGCAAGTTGTGGAGATGAGTCGGACATGGGCAGGTGGGCTTGGTGGGTTTGTGTTGTATATGCACATGCATTTCATGAACGCTCAAGTGTTACTTCAGCTTCCACTCCTTCCACAATTATGCCTCTAATTCCAATTATGGCTTATGTTGGATATGAATGTTTCGCACTACTCCTCAAGACTTGTATCGCCAAGTACCATTTTTTTCATCTTTACAAGGAAAGGTGGCACCAATTTGATTGATTGATTGATATGTGGGGTTTAACGTCCCAAAACCACTATATGATTATGAGACGCCGTAGTGGAGAGCTTCGGAAATTTAGACCACCTGGGGTTCTTTAACGTGCACCCAAATCTGAGCACACGGGCCTACAACATTTCCGCCTCTATCGGAAATGCAGCCGCCGCAGCCGGGATTCGAACCCGCGCCCTGCGGGTCAGCAGCCGAGTACCTTAGCCACTAGACCACCGAGGCGGGGCGGCACCAATTTGGGAGCAGGAGAAAAAAAAAAGAAGTCACGGGAAAAAAAACTATCCAACCGTTGCTGGCCTTCACTTAGTAGCAGTACTATGGAACTTTTAACCTATTCGACCACAATGGATACCTATCGATGGGACAACGCAACTTCAAGACAAAAATGCGTTGCCATAGCCACAAACGCTTTGCAAAAGACATGAACTTCCTAGTCGACAAAAGCGGTTGTGACATGTTAGCAACTTGAACTTGGGAGCGCATAACGCGTTTTTCACGCGCGAACAGAGTCTACGTGCTGCAAACGCTGGCGTTGATGGCGACTACATTGGTCGTCATAGCAACGGCACATAAAAAATTCTTCTGGGCGGTAGATATCTGGTGCTGTCGCCGGACCAACGAGCGTGCATTGCTGTTACTCTATCTGGCAGAACGCGCATTGCAAGCGAGCCGAAATGTTGTGCCCCAAACCACCCCCCCCCCCCACCCCCCCACACCCATCGTAAAGGAAGGCGGGAGGGTGGGGCGTAGTGGTATTTGAAAATTTCTTGGCCGTGTTCTAGCCCATGCAGAACGCTGCCTAAACCACCTTCACCGCAACACAGTGGTGCCCTACGGAACAGCGTATTATTTTTTGGAAAGGGTTGTCAGCACTACTCGCAGAAACAGTTACTGGCAATCATTTGGAGCAGTCTATGACACTTCTGCTGCCTTAAAGAAAGAAAGAAAAGAAAAAAGACTGCGCCATTTTTCATGCCGACAAACTCCGACTCATACCCTTAATCTGGTTTAGGGCCCGCTAATGACAGCTCTTAAGTGTAAGCATCAGCAGCAACAGCATTGAGAGTTAGCAGGTGCACATGTTGCCTTGCGAATGCTTAGTTGGTACTTCCTCGATTCACAAGCAGGTATAATCGTGATATAGCGGGCACCTGTCATTTTTTTTTTTTTATTGAGGGAACAGCGCAGTCGAAATGAAGAACAGGAATGGGCAAAGCATGTGGCATGTAGGCAGGATAACCACTGGTCATTAGGGGTAACGGACTGGATTCCAACCTAGGGATTAAGCTGTGGAACAAGTCTGCAGCAAGCCAGGATTATTGGTTCAACATGGGGAGGCCTTGCCGCGATGGTTGCAGTCAGGATGATGGTCATGCTTGTCTTTTGTTATTGCGAGGTCATGTCATTTTCGCACTGTTTCTTGCTATGATGTCTCGCCATCCAATGACCCTTTTCATGGGCAAGTGCGCTTCTCTGCACTGCATATTTGAAGAAGTAGTAGTAACACCTGTAGTGCTTAAAGCGGAGATGTGGTCCTAGTTGAACGTGCTGGGTCTCCTATTATGCGAGTTTATATAGAGAGAGCAGACTCTACATTTGCCATGACAAAGCATAATCAAACCGCGCTTGAACAGGCCGTTTGCAGTAAGTGACTGGCCGCCATTAGTTGTGCATACTGCATATTAGAAAAGCTAGCTTTACAATTTCGAAAAGGGTCTATTGATCAGCACTTCTTACCTACACATTCAGTACGTGTTGAACACGAGCCATGAAAGGGACGTGCTGTGCTGCAGGTACAACGAGTGCAAGGACAAGCTGGTGCCGTACCTGCGCAAGTGCGGCTTCAACCCCAAGACGGAGCTGACCTTCATGCCCTGCTCAGGACTCACGGGAGCCTACTTGAAAGAGGTGGCGCCGCCCGACGTCTGCCCCTGGTACAGGGGTCCCCCGTTCCTCGTGTACATTGACAGCCTGGCACCGCTTAGCCGGTCTGCCGACGGGCCTTTCCGCATGCCTGCCGTCGACAAGTACAAGGTGTGGACGCATGCATATGTTTGTTTTGGAATGATTTTCTTCATTGTATTTTTGCCAACTGGAAGAGCAAGTTGGTTACATGTGCATCTTCTCCGATTATAGGGTTACAGCCAAGGGCTGCACACATGTGTAAGGGGTACGCGGCACTTAGAAGTCGAAAATCGGCCCAAAAATTCAATTTTCCATCTCATCATTTTCGCGTTCCCGGTGCCCTTCTCACAGCCAGTTATCCTCTTTGATGTAAATAACTATGGGCAGACTACTGAGCCCTTAATTAACAAGTGCAATAAAACAACTGTAAAGTGTTACTTCCTTATCATATGTGCTTCGACACGAGCCAGAGTATGACTGCATTTGTCGTGGCAGGACATGGGCACGGTGGTGCTGGGCAAAGTAGAGTCTGGGTCGGCAAGGCGAGGCCAGCAGCTGTTGCTGATGCCAAACCGGCGGACTGTCGAAGTGCTCCAGCTATGGTCCGACGAGGATGAGACGAATCTGATTACGTCAGGGGAGAACGTCAAAGTCAAGCTCAAGGGCGTGGAAGAAGAGGTATGTTGGTTGTTGGCGCGTATGTCTTTGTACTAGATCCCACATGACGCATCAATGGTTGACAAAGTAAACGAAGAATACACTCAAACCTCAATATACCAAAATATTGGTTGTAATGAGGTAAGTGAAAAGTCTTGCACTGGAAATAGTGCTAGGAATACGCCTCCACAATAAATCTTTGGCTATAACGAATTTATTTCTGTGTAAGATGCAAGTTCATTACAATGAGGTTTGAGTGTAGTCTTGTCATGAATATTTATCTACAATGAATTTTCTGATCCTCAATACGCTCTCAGTAAGTGGAAACTCTAGTCCTAAACGAAGTTGCTGTTTAAATGGGGTACGAGGTGATAAGAATAGTAACGTTTAATTTTTCAGCGATTTTTTTTTTTTTTTCCAATGCTTCAAACGATTTCATTATTGGGGTAGTACAGTCGAATCTCATTCATTCGAACACGCTTAATTTGAACTTCCGGTTAATTCGAACTCACGATGAGGTCCCGTCAAAGCTATGTGTATTCCAATGGGCGAAAACGCGCGGTAATTCGAACGCCTAAGCATTTCCCACGGTTAATTTGAACATACCGCACTCCGAAAATGCTCTCAGCAACCCGCCTGATCCCGCGGCGGCACCTGCGACACCTCAACGCTGCGCGCGAAGAAAAGGAAAAAGAAAGAAAAGGCTGCGGTGAAGTGTTTGGTATCTCTCAAATGCTGATCTGCGACACACCTGTGTCGCGCTTCTCCCTTTTCCGTCCCTGCCACGTAAAGACCATCTCCTTCCAAAGCCGTGCACAAAGAGAGAGAGAGAAGAAAAAGATAGAAAGCTGTCTCTGGGTGGAATCAACACCTGGTGTTGGTGGAATGAATGTGTGGTTGAAGGAAAGGAAAAGGGCACTATCTTCTGCAGCCCTTGCGGCAGCATGGCTCTGCGCACTGTGCGCCTTGAGAGAGGGGGGTCTCTCATGCGCCACGTAACCCTTCTCATTTCAACAACACGCGTGAAGAGAGCAAAAAAAAAAAGGCTGCCGTGGGGTGTTTGATTTCTCTCAAATGCCGTTCTGCTTCTCTCCGCGTGGAGACGCTCCTCCTTTCCTCGTCATGTGCTGGCCATGCTGAGACTGCGTAGCGGAGAGCGGGAGGATCTGCTACGGAGTTGTTGTCGTCGTCGTCTTTAGAAGTGTCGGCGCTGGACATTTCCGCGTGCAACTTCTCCTGCCAAAAGAATGCTGAAGCCGAAGTAGAAATGCTTTGCAAGGTGCGTGCGAAATGGATTGACTCGCTGCAAGGCAAACGTGTGCAGCCGCCCACCACCGAATACTTCATTATTAACGGAAGTCCTGTGATTTGTGAATAAATATAAGTCTTCTGAAACTTCCCCCTCATGTGTTAGCTCAACGCTCATGTGCCACTGCATGGAGAGCCCTCCGTTCATTTAGCTTTGATTAATACGAACAAATTTTCAGGCACCTTCGAGTTCGAATTATCGAGATTCGATTGTAGAAGTAAAATAAGTTGTAGAAGTTGAAAACAGAGCACTTTTCTAGTTTGCTATCATCACAATCTGAGAGAATGTAGCTTCAGAAAATGAAGCTCTCACTTGGTGAAAGCTGCTTGTTGTTTAATGCTGTCAATACGATTCATCGAAAAAGTGGAGGGGTGGGGGGAAGGCTTGGCAAAGGACAGGCTTTTGGCCCCTTTGCTACAGCTGCTTGTCATGCATGTGCTACACTCTGAACCTGAATAGTCAGAATAGAATTAATTCTCTACTCAATCTCTGTGATGGTGTGCCTGGCTGTAACCTGCATGCTAAGCCTATCGAGCTCTAGCTGCCTTGTTGGCAATGGCTGTGGAGTCACCTAAATATTCTGCAGTTCCATTCACACTACTTACATTTCAGATGAGAAAAAGGTTGTTCATGTGCAACGCCAGAGTGGGGGTCCATGGTTGGCTTTGTGCAGAGAAAAATGAATGCGGAACTAGAATCGCGTTGGTCTAGTGGCTAAGGTACTCGGCTGCTGAGCCGCAGGTCACGGAATCGAATCCCAGCTGCGACAGCCGCATTTTCGATGGAAGCGAAATTGCTGTAGGCCTGTGTGCTCAGGTTTGGGTGCCCGTTAAAGAACCCCAGGTGGTCGGCATTTCCGTAGCCCTTTACTATGGCCTCTCTCATTATCATATGGTAGATTTGACACAAAAACCCCACATATCAATCGCACCGTGTACCCTCCTCCTCCATAACGACTTCGTCGCTCGCTCTTCAGTGCCGCACCCTGCCCGCCTTTCAGACGCGCACTTGCTCTCATGTTTGTCCCTGAATTCCCAGCAACCGCATTATAACCGTATGTGTGTTTTTTTTTTTCTTCTAATCTTTTGACTGTAAATAAGCGGTGTGCCTATACATAGGGTTTATAGGAGGCTAAACAGGAGTCCAAAAAGACTGCATTGTAACTGGTCTACGCTGTATACCGTATTTCCTCGCGTAATGAGCCCACTTTTTTTTATAGAAAAGTTGATCTCAATTTAAGGGGAGGGTTCATTGAGGAAGAAAACGTCGCGGAACTAATAAAACAGCGAAAATTTGAATGGCGGTTTTGTTTGTTTTTGCCCGCAAAATCCACGACAAATCATTTTTGTAGCCCGAAGCTCTTTTCTCCTGCAACAACGCGCGCGGATCGCCGCAGAAGTATTGTTCAGCTGCTCGGTTACCATGCTCTAGCACATGCTTGACCAACTTTAAGTTTAAAACCAGCCATGTAGCTAGCGTACCGGCCGAACCCGCCCTGCACGGTAGGTGTTTCTATTAGTTCACTACGACAAACCTGACGACAACAAAATGTAGTGTCGGGTGGCGGCTCACACACGTTGCAGGAGAGCAATGGGCGCTTTGCATGGTCTCCAAGCCACGTGCCAGCCATCTCGAAAGCCATAAATTTGTTGTTTTTTTCCTTTGTTCTCGTGACGCTCTGCCGCAAAAAGCGCTACTTTTAAATGTTGTTTAACGTCGTACGTGTTCGCGCTGCTCGCAACTGTTTAGCATGGTGGCGATATTATGCTTTGACTTTTATTGCATTGCTTTTTTGTCATATCATGGTTGATCTAACCTTTTGATCGTCAATGGCATTGGCTATCACGCCGAAATAAAATGAACAGATACATTAAAAAATTTGTTTCTTTCTTCAAGGACCAAGGTGGAATGTGGGTTCATTGTGCGATGGGTTCGTTGTGCAAGTCAATATGACATATATTTTTATCATTCTTTTTCTCTGCGCTGTAGAGCCAGAGGCGTTAGATTTAAGGAAAAAAAAAAACAGTGACCAAGGTAGTCTAAAACTTTTTTTGAAAAAATAACCGCCACATCCTCAAAGTGAATGATGTTAGAGTAACATGCTCGGAGGGGCACGGGGCATTTCTTGGTGAAAACATTTCTGTAGGAAGGTTTCTTAATGAGGCAGCACATGGCGTGTACGTCGAAGGCAGCGTTGTCAGGCATGTTTTGCGGCTGCCACTGCACAGTGTCACATGACGTGTACGTCGAAGGCAGCGTTCGTCAGGCATGTTTTGCGTCTGCTACTGCACAGTGTTGGCCATGTCGATCAGCGCGTTAACCACCTGCCGCTTTATGCCTTACTGGCCACTTCCATGAGTCAAATGCCTAACACTCGTAACTGGCAAACGTGGAGCTATCAGGCGTTCTTCAACGGGGTTGAGAGCAGGCAAGTAAAGGGGACTTGGAAGGATACCGGTGCCCGTGCTGCGTAACACTCATCGTAGGAACTTGTCACGTGCTGCCGTGCCTAAGAAGTGACGAGAACAAGGTGGATGTTGTCAAGAGGAGGCGAGCGCGGGCCATCGAAAACGGACTTGGATGGATGGATGCTATGAGTGTCCCCTTTATAACGGGGCGGTAATATGTGCCACCAGTCTCGCAAAAAAAAAAAAAAAAAAAAAACAACTGAAAACTACTTTTTTGGGGGGGGGGGGGGGGGGGGAAATGCTTTATCTACTTCGATTAAAACCCTGTTAATGCTCCTCGTTGCCAGCCGTACATTTACTAGTGAGCCTCCTAGTTCTTTTTCTCCCCTTTGTGTCCATGGTCTTTCTATACGATTCAAATACCTGAACACATTCTCTGCCCATCTATTCTTTATTTTCCTAAGCCTCTCTTCAAATCTCATTTTGCTCCGAGTTTCCCTTACTTCAAAGCCTGTTCATGCCATATTTCCCTTTACAGCCCCATTCCTCGTCTTCCCGTTGTGGGGTCTCGAAATGGCGAGCGCCACGCTCTTTGAGTGAACGGATACAACAGGCACGGTCGGAACAAACCGACCAATACACACATTTATTTAGCTACTTTTGATCGACGATATCGTCAGCCAAATTATTATAACATCAATCGCGATCAACCCGCTAAGACATCATTACACAATATTACTTGGCACGAAGCAACATAACCAAACGCAAGAGCACACAAAAGACAGCGTCGCCAATGCTTGACTCACTGCGCGAGCCCCCGGCAGACGGCTTGCAGTGCCATGCAGCGGGGACACGCCCCGAGAGCAACCGTTCACGCCATACGCCACCAGCCGAAGAAACTCTCTTCATTCTCTCACCCGCCACCAAGGCTTGCCTTCTGCCAGGAGTCACCACCACCACTACTGCTCTACCAACTATGATGATTATAGTGGTGATCACCGCTCGCGAACACGCCACCTATCGCTCAATACTGTATAAACCGAACTATAAATCAAGTGAGAATATAGGTCAACACCCCAAGTTCAGGTTACCGAAAAAGAAAAACAACCCAAAACTACTGAACCACATTTATTTGTGAATTAAGCGCACCGCATTATGATTGTCGGAGCTCCCCTCAACCACCATTGCAACTGCTCCTATTCGTCCGACGAAGCACTACTGTCTTCTGAAGATGAGAGTTTGTCGCTGGCCACCTTTCACAGTGCATCCTCTTCAGTGCCATCCAGCTAGTTGCTGATGCAACATTTCTTGAAAGCATTTTCCACCATGGAATCTGGCAAGGAACGCCAGGCGGAGAGCACCCAGTCACAAACAGCCGCAAGCAGAGGCCTCTATAGGCGGCCTGTCGGTGTCTTGGGGTTGTCACCGAACATCCACTCTTGGTATTCCAGCAGCACTCGGTCTTTGAACGACTTGTTTAGCACAATGTCGAGTGGCTGAAGGGTGGACGTCATACCACCTGGTATCACGGCGAGGTCCGTTTTCCCGTCGCTGGGTGCACGTTTCACTGTGTCGGTTAAGTGACGACGAAACGCATCCAATACACCAGCATGCTGCAAAGACGCAGCAGTGCACCTGGTCGATGGTTCCACACCACTGTTATCCATTCAAGCATCATGGCCTCGTCCATGTATCCCTTTTTGTTGATGCGAACGGCAACACTGGGTGGGAACACTTCGTACGGCACTGTCTTGCATTTGAAAATGATGAAAGGCGGAAACCTTCTACCATCTGCCGTGCATGCCAGCACGACGGTGAAGCGTGAGTGCTCGTTGCCAGTGGACAATAGCTTCACATCCTTGGCGCCGCGCTGCGTGATCGTGGTCGACGAAGGCATGTCAAACCACACTGGGGCCTTATCGGCATTGCCAATCTGCCCCATCATGTAGTCGTTCTGCCCCCGAAGCCAGTTCACGAAGCGCTGAAAGTTTATAAGCTTGTCCTCGAACTCCTCCGGTAACTTTTGACAGATGGATGTGCGCCGCCAGAGAGAAAATCTTTTGAGTCTCATAAATCGACGCACCCAAGAGTTTGGCGCACAAAACTCTTTTCTCCTGAGCCCAGCTTCTCGAGCGAGTTCTACGGCTTTCTTGTGAATGGTATTCATGGTCACTGGCAGCGAGCGCGCACGAACTTCCCACACAAAGTCCGCTAGCTTATTCTCCAGCTGCAGGTGAACGGCACTTCATCCACAAAATGACATTTTTCGAGGGTTGCACATCTGCAGCTTCCCTTTCTGCGACCTCCAATAGGGCACGCTTTTTTTTTTTTTTTTTCGATACACCAAAGCGGCGCTGAGCAGCCATATTCCCGTTTGCTTCTGCGAACTCGGCAACATCTAGTTTAAACACAGCTGAGTACTGCCTTCTCTTACCGCTACTCATATTCAGTGAATGAAAAAAAAAAGAGAGACCACTAAAAATGCAGCGCAATGTCAAGCGGAGCGAAAATTTTGAACAGATCGGAAGCAAGTTGTGAACACAAAGAAAACAGAGAGAAAAAAAAAAAACTGCCTGCAATTGTATTTAGATGCGGATATGGCTGCGTTTGACTTCTCAAGCACATGCAAGCCACATGTTGCCAGACAGCAGCGCACTTTTGGCCATATTGCTCTATAAGAGTAGGGGCGAATTTAGCTTATTATTTTATTAAAGATATCTCGACTTGTATTCCGGTTTATACAGTAGTTGTCACCCCCGAAATACGGCTCCTGTGCGAGACAGGTGCGCCACCCGGCGCAAACTACCTTACAGGGGGTGTGCCATGGTTTTTTCAGGATCCCCCCACCCCCTTCAAGCACTTTCCACGGCGGGGTTCATTTCATATCTTGCTTTCCACATTGGAAACTTTTTAAAATATATTTCTTGGATGAAATAACACTTTCTGTTTTGTTTAGCAGGAAAACAGATAAGGAACATCTACATAAAATTTATCGCTGAAAATTTCTTTTAGAAATTTTTGCAGTGAGTGTCGGCACCTCTCATACGATTTTTAAATACGATAGTGTTTCTTGGGGTAGACACAAAATTTTTTGTTCGTCTGTCTGTACAATTCTCTGTTTGTCTACCGTAACGATACCTTGAACGACCAACCCCATCCGCAGCACCCACCAATATTGCTCAAGTTTAAGCGTTCACACTTGTGCGATTGTTAACTCAAAAGCAATTATTGCGCATATCTGAGGCACCATAGAATACGTCGATATTTTTGTGTTTTTATACTATAGAAGACATACATAAGCAATTTTCAGGACCGTAGCATTTATCAAGCTGCGCTGACAATGCAACGCGATACTCAAAAAGCAAGTGTTTCCCAGACGACACAGTAGTGGTGCCTGCCTGCCACTTTGCGTTCTACACCTTATCGCCTCTGAGACAGGTGCGCACGCCTTCCTTTGTTTTTGAAAACTGCCAGTTAGCGCTTGTGTCCAACGTGCCTTGATGCACTCGTCCACCTTTGCTGCACGGATTGAAACTCTTAACGCAGCGCCTCCAAAGTACAATTCACCAATTTTCTCGCGCAGAACACCAAATAAACATTTCGTTCACTCTCTCCAGACGCCAGACTATCGTATTTCGACGACATTTGCAGTGAAACACGCATGCAGATACGGGCCTAATTTTAAATTTTACTGCCTGCATTGCCAACCGGTATAACTCGGATGTAGTGGCTAGCGGCCTATACAAGCGAATGTGAACCTTTTCTACCTTGCCTTTACAGATTAAGTTCGTTCTACGTTTCTGCCAAGTCTCTACTATTTCTTTCACCTGTAAGCACTTTTCTACGGATTTCAGCAGTGTTTCTTTAGTGCTGTCTTGTTTCGTTAATGAGGCAGATGGGTACCCCCATCTAAGCCTGGAGTAGTTGGCTTGGGAGTTTTTCCTTTGGCTTTTTCTAATTGAAATTCTCAAGTACTACCTCTTCCTCAGTTTCACTGTATTTGCATCCTTGTAAAGTTCAAGGTTTCGATTCTGCAGCCCAGGAAAGAAGTGTTCCTGTGCGACTTTCTGTTGCATCTAGGTTTGTCCTAGTCTCTTGTCTTTACACTGTTCAGCGGTCGTCGTGCAACTTGTTCATGTTGTTGGAGTTTCCAGTCGGTAGTGCTGAGACTTCACAAAAAAAAAAAAAAACTGCAGGAAGTGTCTCCAGGGTTCGTGCTGTGCGACGTGGTGAACCAGTGCAAGGTGGCCAAGGTGTTTGATGCGCAAGTGGTCATCCTGGAACACAAGTCCATCATCTGCCCTGGCTACAGCGCCGTGCTGCACATCCACGCCGCCATCGAGGAGTGCTCCGTCAAGGTACGCATAATGTTCCTGTGCTCTCCATATCTCGTAGCTTGAACCAGTGAGCCGCTTAATTAATCTGAGAAATTTTCTTGTGGGTGTCTGAAAAAACAAATAAGCCCCTTTCCTCCCTGGTATCCTGAAAGAAAACTGTATTTATGGGTATTGATAGACGTGATTGTTTGCCACAGACTATCATCTGCCTAGTGGACCGCAAGTCTGGTGAGAAGAGCAAAACGCGGCCACGGTTTGTGAAACAGGACCAGATCGCCATCATGCGCATGGAATGCGCTGGTGTGGTATGCATGGAGCCATTCAAGGAGTTCCCCCAGATGGGACGCTTCACCCTGAGGGACGAAGGTATGTTTCCCTTCCTTGTCTCTGTCTGGTTCCCAAATAGATTCATTCCCGAGCAAACTCGTCACTGAACTAATCAGTTAGCTGCCCTTTGAACTTCTTGGCCTCTGAATTGGATTGTGTATTTCCCTACGACTGTAAGGTGTTTGCTTGGTCACAAGTACAACTTTGTCTTGTGTCGTTGTTTTGGTATATTAAGTCTTGGAACGCTTTCTTTTAATTCAACTGGTTTGGATTTGGTGTTGTGGCACAGGTCGCACCATTGCCATCGGGAAGGTGCTGCGGGTGGTGGAATGACTGGGAGCAGCCCCGGAGCAGTGCCACTCTCCCGGCTCGCAGCCGCCACCACCACCCAGGGATTGCCAGCAGCAGCAAGGCGCCGCCAGCTCCACCAACTCACCTCGCCACCGCCAACAACGGCACTGCGAGGGGGGCGCACGAGGCGTCGACAGCCGGCCCAAACGCACGGTTCGAGCCGCTGCGCCGTCGTCCGCAGGCGGATGACCGTGGGCCCCACGGCGGTGCGCCGTCTGCAGTCGGCTCGGGACTCGAGTTGGGCCCAAACCAGAGCGCTAGAGTCATCAGAAGAGGGTCACTGCAGCACCACTGTATTGTTGTGCCTCGTTGCATTAGCAGTCTTGGCATGTAACTGAAATTTCAAAAATAGTATGCAGAATAACCTGGTTTCAGAAAACAAAACAACTTCCTTTTCTGTAAGCACTATGCATGCGAATACGTCAAATTTTGGAAGCAAGACGTGGAACACCCCGATTCCACAAAGACAAGCAAAAGATAACTTGTGTCCGAAAGTTGTGCATAAGAATTGTTTGATTAGTTCCTTTATTTTCTGCATTCTTGGCAATAGATTCAATACCTCTGTGTAATTTCAGATGGAGCTAGAACGTTCATGCACACAATATTATGGGTGCGCAGCAGAGAGGCACTGTGATGCAAGTTCAATTCTGTCAGTCACATTTGCTGCATCATAGAGATAGTCGAAATTTGGCAGCAGAGGTGATGTTAATGGCATATACGGATGGACTTCCACTTGAGCCTGACTGTACTGGGATAGGTTACCATAGCATGAAAAGGCCCATTGACAGTATACCAGAAAACGCCCCTGTTTGCACACATCGAATGACTGTGTGCATTCTGAACCTGTAAGTTTTCTGCGGCTCCGGCTGTTTGATAAGCCTTTTTCTGATGACTCTAGCTCCAGGACCTAAACCTTTGCCGCATGGTGGGATGAGCTTTAGAACTTTTGCACGGAAACTGAGCTGACAACTCTGTTGTGCTACGAATGCTCCCTTAGCGGCAATGCGGTGCACGTGGTTTTGCTTGAAGGAGAAGGGCCTCGTGGTGATGACGCTGTGCCGTATAATACAGGTGCTTGAGAGTTGGAGGGGTCGCGGGAAGGTCGTGGTTGAGACACGGATTTAAAAACGGCCAGCGTGTACCCCTTCCTTCACTTTGAAGAACCACTTGGAGGCGATAGTTATGTGAGGCTACGATGGTGGTGCGAATGTGGGTGCCAGTGCGAAATGCTAGTTAACAATATTGGCCAGTTTTCATGGGTGTATTTTGTTTTTGTATCATTGTGCTCTTCAGTATTCAACAGTAGTTGAATACGGCACCAATCTGAATTAACCTTGCTGCTACGAGAAATCATTTATTCTTTTCTGCCATCACTTTGTCGAAGCACTCTCACGCAATGCCTGGTTCCTGGTAATATTGTCGGCTTGTGTGGCTGATAGCCTGGCATAGGAAGCAGTAGGCAAGTTATCTCCTGGTACCTTTCTAGTATTTTTATTATAAATTCTAGACATCTGCCATCTACCAGTATGCTTCATTTTCTAGTACCAATCTGCACAAGAGTCCGTTGTCACGAAGTATTTTTTGGGCACTCCTGCTGTTAGACTGAGCAAGTTTTAAACTGCTGCAGGATCTGTGGTACCACCATAGATCCCGAAATTTATATCCAGCAATGCCATACAACAATATGGTACCAATTTACAGCGCTCGCAGTCTTGGTGTTAGGTCTGGCGTTAAACTGCTGGTTATGTAGATTTTCCGGCAACTGTGTACCTGGTGCCGGTATCGTGTGTGCTCCAGCCATTGGTCATTCAAAGTAGCAAGTACCATATTCCCACTGCCATTTACGTAGCCTATTTGGGTGTTGGGAAAGCCTTCCCTTAAGCGAAATCCACGGGCATTGCATTTCAAGAAAGAAGTAAATGGGTTGCCTTGCAAGTGAGGTCTACTTTGGGTTCGGTTCAACTCTGGGACAGTCTGCAGACTCTTGAGAACAGGACAGGCAAATGTGCACCAGCCGTTGAGACGGTCGTTACCGGACGAGACCAGTCTACAGAGATGATGGAGAGACTTTTTTTTTTTCTGTCTCTTTTGTATAGACACACAAATTTCTCAATTTTGTTGCCGTCTTTCCCTGGATTTTTCTTTTTTTTTTTAATGAGAATTTGTTTATATATGTGCAACCTTTCTCTGCTCTGTTCTGTGTTTTATATAGTAAATATGTACAATTGTCCTTTCTTTGTGCCTTGAAACAAGATTTTTCGCTACAATGACACATCGGTTAGCATACTTGCCCTTTCGGGGAAGACGGCTTAGTCCGCCTCCTGTGCAAGCTGTCAACTTCATTTGCCATATATGTATTTTTAATTGCGCAGGGTATCGTGCATTTCACAGTGCATGGGTTTTGGGTTGTCTGGCAATTATTGCATATCATGGCGCTTTATTATTTTGTTCCATACAAAATATGTCCAGAATTTGTCACATATTGGAGGTACTACGCGCCGCGTTCCTCGTTTAGGTTGTTTCGTTCACCGCCTGCATCTAAAAAGAGTGCGGCGAAGATCTTAGTTTTAAATGTTTCACGTAATATAGCACGAAGAAAATGTGCATACTTTTTTTTTTTCTGAGGAACAGAGGAAAAAACTGGTGGTGGTTGACGCACTCGTGCCCAGTGTTCATGGGCTTGAAAACGATCTTCAGTGGAAAAAAATCTTGTTTTAATTTCTTGAAGAAATGATTATGTGGTGAAAGTAAGTGGCGGGAGAATTTTTTTTTTTCCTCTTTGTTCTCCCTTTGATTTTGTTGTTTTTACCAAACTACCAAGGAAAAACAAATAAAAACGTTTATTCCAATCAACATGATATTGTTGTACCTGATGCTTTGTTATTGTATTGAAGTTCCACAAGAATGGTTACGAATTCTTAGCAGCACTGATGTGAGGGGAGAAACTGCTGTGAGGATGCGCTACTGTGTAAAGTAAAACATTTTAGAAGAAATAAACAGTTGGATGTTGGTGCTCTGTGTTGTCTCATCTGCCCCTAGTGTCTCTTGTGCTGCTATGAATGCGTAATCATAGTGTAGACCAATGCACCCATTCCTACACTGCTCTTCAACAGTGCTGCTGCAGCATGGTTTCTCAGATGTAGGTGCATTCTAGTGGGAACAATGCAAAGTATGTCAACATCTGGTGCTCAAGACAAGGTTGAAATGACAGTGGACTTCTGTTGTCACTCAATCTTTGGCTTCTTTTGTGTAGACACTAAATTCGAATACCATGATACCCTAGCTTACGAGATTCCAAATACAAACAATAGTGATTCAGCAAAAGAAAAGAAAGCAGAGATAACAAATTTCAAGTAGCAGCATAGCGGTGTCTGTTATAAAGGATGGTGGATAAATGGTGGATGGTGTTGTGCGTTCGAAGCACGCAAGCGCCAACTTTTCTTGGCATTGAAGGGGAAGCTATGGAGGCGGAGCTTCTGCACATGAAGCACTACACAATGCGGTGCGCGCCTCGTGACGTGCACCACAAAGTGATGGGGAGCACCAACAGCATTTCATGTAGACCCAGACGGCGCTTAGCATTTGAGGTACACAGTGAAAAGGCGGGACTTGCTTGCGGGCTCAGAAATGTGAAGTCCAGCGAGTAAATTAAAGAAATATGAATCGTTAGTTGCGTGTGGTGCAGCACGTCGCATCCTCGGCTCTCGCCGTCACTTGCCAGTTCGCTATCGGTCCAGTGAATGCGCGCGTTTGTGCTTTCTTCGGACATGCTTCACTCGGGATCATGCTCGGGTGTGGCGAGTTGCCTGTTCGTTTTACCCAACGAAAACTTGCGAGCAAGCGGCTTCGCCCGACGCAGCGGTGCCGATATTGTGCTTCTCCGTGAGAATTTGGTGCCATCCGTGGTGCATTTCGCGAACGAGGGACGTTTTAATTAACGGAATGAACCGCGCCTAGCAGAAGTCTAGGCGCGTTCTCTTGCTGTGTGCGCAGCTGTGCGATCATGATATCGCGTCTCCTTATTAGGGATGACGGGGAAAAATAAATTGGCCTCCTAATTGCACGGCAGCGCCACGCTCGACTTCTGTAATGCGCGGTTCATTCCGTTGATTAAAACGGAATTGAAACGGCCAGCGTCGCTCATGCACTCGCGAAATGCACCGCAAATAGCAGCAAACTCTTACAAAAAAAAAAAACCACAACAAAAAAATTTCTCTGCCAAATTTAGCGGCAGTTTGGCAACTGACTTATGCAACTCCAAACGGAACCTTCCCCCCAACGCGCTTGTACTGTCATCGCTCTGCCGAGCATGCAGCTATCGGCAGATGGCTGTGATAAGGTTGCCGGCGATGAGTCATGCGAATAGGGGCCCCAAAGTTTGGCATGCGGAACGTGAACGTAAGTCTTCATGCTGCCCCCTATTCATTTACGTTTTTATTTACCGGGAGCACAAAGGTCACTGCAATCGTTGCACAGTCTCCGTTTGCAGAAAGGGCGCGCTTTTCAGACGCAGTGAATTAACTGGGGCGCTTATTCGGGTTCATCTGTGCCTGTAAGTACGCTTCTTGCGTCAATTGTGCGTGAGAAATGCGGGGCACATTTTGATGTGCTTGTCATTCGGCGCGTGACCTTCCGATTTGTTGCTATCGCGTTCACTGTTTCGCCTTTGCAGCGAAGATGTGACTTTTTTTCTCTCACTTCTGTTGCGCCGGTGAAGAAACGTCTGGAAAGTGAGCGATCTCGCTCGCAACGTCCAGAATCGGCGTGCAGTGCTCGTCGCCGCGGTCTCCGCCGCAAGTAAACTGCTGCGGGGCGCACTTGAGCGCGCACCTCTCGCATGCTTTAGAAGGTCCGTTTTAACATTTTTCGCTCCGTATACGCATGTTTTTACCGCGACCGTGTCTTGTGCATTGTAGAAGGAAAAGGCTTTGAAAAATGTGCGCTGTATGTGGACTTAGTTTCAAAGGGTAGAATAGGAAAATCGTAACTGCACCGAAATATGGTGGTTATAACCGATCGATTGTTATATCTGGGATTGTTGTAAGAGGATTGGGCTGTAGCGGGAAAATGGCATTCTGCCATAGTTGCAAAGAACTGGGCTGTGAATTGGCTTTTTTTTTTCTATAGTACGATACTAATGATAAGTTTAATTTTCATAAACATGCCTGCTAACATTTCAGCATGTAAACTTGCACAATTGTACATTGGCCTTGATGTCCATTTTTAGCCAAAACTGTACACGGCAGCACGGAACAGGTGGATTGTGTAGGGGCTAGTCCGTGCCCGTGCTCTGCGGCATCGCAAGAAAGGCGGATTATATCTGCAATGCCCCTTTTGCAGAGAAGCCCGTCCCTTTCACGTGCAGTAGGAGGAGAAGGCTGCAGACAATCCCCACTAAACCCTCCTAGTACTCGAAGCTTTGGGAGGGGAACCCTTGGTGAAGACCACCCTCGATGATCAGCAAAGGCTGGCTGTGAGGTTTCATAATGCATGAAACGTTACGGACTGAGGATGCTTCCAGGACTAATTTTTTTCAAGCGACGCTCATTCTTTCTTCCCTGACTGGAGTGTGACCTTCCAAACTGCCGTATGTGTGGTTGTACGCAAGTGATGAAGCATGTCTCTTGTTGCATGGTAATGTAATACGAGCTCACGTATACATCTTTGCCGATATTTGTGTATGCCAAAGCCTCAAGCATAAGACCGGCTACATTGTTCTCATGGTCAATTCTATGCATTGTTGACAGAGGTATAGCCAGAAATTTTCCTCGGGGGGGGGGGGGGGGGAGAGATAGTGTTTGGCGCAACTTTGCGTAAGTTCGTGGAGTTTTCTGTGGTTGCTTGCACTTACAAACAGCAAAAAATTCAGTAGGGGAGAGGGGTTTATACCTCCACCCCCCATGTACAAACAGTTTTCAGGTTCTCTTCCTGCATCACACTAGACCTTGTACGCCAACTAATTCTATCATTCGCCAACTAATTCTATCATTCGTTGCTTTATTTTGCATGGCAGATTTGTGGTGTAGGCTGTCAACATGCCCGATCTATGAAGAATGACTGTTTTGTTGAAAGCGAGACTGCTTTGTCGCAAATCTGTCTGAAACCAGAAGTAAAAACTTCAGGCAAGTTTGTTTTGACTCTACAAAACCTGAAGCAGGAAGTTTAGGCAAGTCCTTTTTTATTTCAGTTGAGTTGCCATACGTACATCTCTTAGGCCCTGTTGCCAAGTTTCCCTGTGCTGCATCGAACAATGCCTGCACAGCACCAAGGCAATCTGAAAAACTCGAGAAGCGTATGATGGGGGGCTAGTTGGTAAGACATTTAGGAAAATTATGACAGCACATGAGAATGAAGTGAACAGGGCGATCATGCTGCGATCGTCCTGTCCACTTTGTTCCCGTGTCTCATTTTCAGTGCAGTTATAATTTTCATAAATCTGAAAAACCTTTATTTCAAATGAGCATCAACACAACCACGAAAACAAATGCATATCTCCAAGGCATAAGAGGAGAGGTCACGTGCATGCCACATCGAAGACTAGGCAAAGAGAAACGACACGAACTTTGGCACAAAGCTTTCAAGCATTGCACATTGTTGCAAAGTGACAGGGAGATCCATATGTGCAAGTCTGTGAAGCACACAGTAGTGACTTTTCCAATATTTTGCCTGTCAGGTTGCATAGTGACTGACAGCAAGAAGTGACGCTTTCTGAACAGTGAATGCATAATTTTTTTTTTTCAACATCACCTGTCTATACGGCAACCGTACAACGGCCGCGAGGTGTCACAATCATTTTTTCACCACGAGCAGGCGAGTGTGGTCACAATCTTTATAAACATGCCTGCTATCATTTGCACATCTGTTCATTGGCCTTGTTTGTATGTCACCCATACAACGACCACTCAAAACACTTAGCCCGCACACTTTACAGGATTTGCAAAGTTGGAGGCCTGCCTACTAGCCTCTTCCAAAAAGGCACCAAATGTTTATCTAGCTATAGGTCTACAGCTAAAGTTTAAATAGGTTCGACATGCAAAACGCTGCCACGAGGAGCTTTTGTTCCAGGATATAATTCAACCACACATTTAGCACATGAGACAACTGTGCTGTTTAACTGACAAACTTGACTAGAGAGAACAGAGCACATACTGCATAATATGGGTCATTCTGAATGTGATAAATAGTAAGAAAGCAGTGGAAATAGTAATGAAATCAAACACTGCCCAGTCAACACATCACACTACTAAGTCTGGTTTCTTAATCAATCAAATGGCGGCAACGACGACGAACATCTTCAGTCGCCACCCCCTCCTCCAGTCTTGATACACAGGCTGCAAGGCCGAGTCATTGGTCTACGGTCAACATGCAAACACAATGAGGAAGACTTGCAAGTGCAGTTCATCAAGCGGCTTAAGAAAGCCTGTCCGATTCAGCCGCAACACCTGAACTAGTCTATGACGTGCTGCATTCGTACACACTCGAGGTTGCAACACTGGAGACCTCTGAACCACGACGTTTGTTTGCAGAGGTGCCAGAAACGGGCACAGCTGGCTCACGATTGCCCTACACCCTGCCTCCTGCAGTAGCAGCCTAGTGCAAAGGCTTTTGTGCAAATTGGCAATGCATTACTTGGACCTCGTAAACAACCAGAAATGTGGCTCAAAACCTCAATTTACATGGGTAGCATGCAAGATAAGATGCCTCGCACCATGGCAGCATTTCATGGTGTGATTTTAATGTCATGTTGTGCCTGCGCCAGCGAAACAAGGCTGCACAAATTCCGACTTTCCATGCCCTGCTAGAACCGTTTCAGATTGGTACGAGTAAATACCAAGAAGCATCGCACTGGGAATCTCAAGGCACAGTAAGCTCTCATAGTATTTGATAAATAAGCTACTTCAATTGTGTAGCGTGGTAGAAAGAAATGCTCTCTTGGTTGCCATTTGCTATCAATACATTGCACCCACAAAGCAGCCTTACGGAGACGATTGCACTGATGTGTAATTGAGTATGACAAACGCAACTACGTTGGCCATTCAAAGTGGCCAAAGGTGCATAAAACTTGGAGGAGGTAAAAAGATACTTAACTTAGTACACACAAACTCTTCTGCTGTTTACCTTAGCAGGAGCTCACAGATGAAACATTCTGACCACAGGTCCCTTCAACAGAATGAATATATGTTGCGATAGGGACTGGTCGCAAGTATACTATATGACGGAAACCCGCTATAACGAATTATGACATTTGCCGTAACCTATTTGTTACGCACGTAATATCAGTGATAAACACTCGAAGACTGATTCACTATGTCCATTGTTTACAAGGTTGAAGAGTATCCTTAAAAACAGTGGTCACTAATAACGGCTTGTAACTTCTTCAGATGCATGTCTTGACATAGTGGCAATCGCTCTCTAGCACTTATGCCATTCAGTAAAGTGTCGACAAGGTGATCGTAGTATTGATAGGAAGCGCAAACTGTGCTCGCATTTCGCATGGGGGTGCTACTGTGAGTCTTAAAACTTGTTCCAGCCAGCCTCAACAGCTTCAGCTGCCTCTGTGTCCCGAGTGTCACTGGGGCTTCTAATAATTTGCAAAAGAAACAGTGCATCAGTTTTCTAAAAATGCTCACTGTAGAATAAGTAATGTAGAATAAGTAATGTGTCCCGAGTGTCACTGGGGCTTCTAATAATTTGCAAAAGAAACAGTGCATCGCTTTTCTAAAAATGCTCACTATAGAATAAGTAATGCCTGTCACAGACCCCAAAAAGGCTGAAGGCATCACCAGCGGTAAAACGATTGCTCCATCATAAATGCAGGCTCCTTTGGCTTCATGATGAAACAAGCGCTAAAAATACACACACTCAGAGAGGACACAGACAAGCGCTTACTAGCAACTGAAAATTTTTAGCGCTTGTTTCATCATGAATCTTTACCAACCTGCCCAACTGGCAGTCATCCTTTTGCTTAGTACAAACGACCTAAATAGCTTTAATAAAACGTGAAATTCGGCGAGATGGTGCACAGTTGACAGGAATTTCGAGCGCAAAAACAGATTCACAAGACAGGGCGGGTGCTACTTTCTACTAACTTAAGTTAGTTCCAGTTTTTTCTCGAGTAGCTATCAACAAAATATGCAATGCTCATAAGAACACCAATTCATTCTTTAATGGTTGCTTGCTGGGTCTAGCACGCAGCGTCGTCGTGTTGATCGTTGGAGTCGCGAGGCGAGGCTGTCTCGATGACACGTACTGCCTCTCCTGGCCACTCGCCAACTCGACACACACCCCGTGTCGCGAAGTGCGCGAATGTGTGTTTCTTGCACTCCAAATTCCCGTCAACTATCTAATAGCATCTCGTTCCATTTGCATAGTGCTGAAATGTGTAGTCTTTGCAAAAAAAGGTATTAATCCAGGTTAGGCCATTTTCAAAGTGAGCAGGGTTCTTTGCTTTCGTGGAAAACACTATTGTCATCTATATATGTGCCCTAAATTATGCCTTCATTCATCTTAATGGCAAATAATTGTGCCTGCTTTGATGCCACAGGCAGATGCCTAAGGTTAGGAAACCAACAGTGCAAGAAGGAAAAGGTGCAGAAGAAAATGCACCATTACTGGCTGTTGTACTACTTTTTTTTAGTACTGCTATAACAGCACGAATCGCCCTTGCATGGAGTGGCAGATCATCAAATTCGATCACCATCTTTCGTGACAGAAAAAGGCACAAGCTAAAGCTGCAGTCAGACTGTGCACGACCTTGCCAAACAATTGTACGCAAAAAGTAAGCACTTTTTTGTAAAATGTTCCGTAAAAAGTTGCACAATGCAGAACAGGTCAGCAACTAGAAAAACTGAACTCTCCTCAAACCAACCTTCCACTTCTCACGCTCATTGGTACAACCATTTCCGAAGTAACAACGAAATGTGCACATCGTTTCACTAGCTGACCACTATGCCAATCAATGATCACAGCACAGATGTGTGTTGTGAGCCTTGAGCAAATATGGCCAGTAATAATGAACACTGCATCATATTCCAATATTATACGCAATAAAATTACATAAATGAGACACATTTCCAAAAGCTGGCTGGGGTAAGAAGTGTGCATAGCATCAGCAGTGGCGAGTAATATTTTTACAGGCACTAGTTTGATAATAGTACAAGGTAATGATCAGGTAACATTGAAAAATAGTTGCAGAGCACTTCATTACTGACGTCTACATTTTAATAATAATTTCAACATATCTTTGCGCTACAAGTTGCATTGTAATATATGACATAATGCAGCTATCATACTAAAATACCTATGTTTCTTACCTATAATATTCTAGTTGCTATCAGTGGAGATTGCAGATAATTACTTGTGATTCAGCACTAGCTATTCTTGGTCTCAGAATCATTCGGCTTTGTATAGGCCTACACTTTTAGGTGGCCGTAAGGCAGTAGTGCATCATAAATTTTTACCATGCCCCAAGCACAAAGGAAATCATATACAAAGCGAAATATTGCATTAGAGCCATGTAAAATATTACGCAACTCGTAAAACTTTAACGTTTGTATGTGTGCACATTATATCTTGGCACCATTTTCTTCAGCATTATCTAATAGGAGAGCTTAAACTATGTTCACTTTAGCAAATGGTTGAAAGAGAAAGCTGTCCTTTACACAAGCCATTCACCACAGTAATTGAATATTTGCTGTTGTTTGCACCATCACATACTACACAATAAAGGAATGTTGTTCAAGCTTGTGCTTGATCACACACCTCGTTAATGTGTAATAAGGCCATTACAAGCATAACAAAAAGCACAAGAAAGGGTTCCCTACTGTGCAGGCAAACAGAAATCATAAGAAAGATGAGCCCTCTGTATGAGATAGGCACAGTAAGCAACAATGAACGATTGACATAGGACCTATAAGTAAGTCTGAGCTCACATCATGCCTCAGATTTGCATTAAATGTTTCAATCTGTTACAGTTTCTGCTGTCTACATGGTGACCTAGAGAAACATTCTTCACCAATAGAGAGGATATTCAGATCTGTTTCGTAGGTATGGTAGCAATATGAACACGTCGCATACGTTCTCATCAATCAACATGGTGGCAAATCCCTACGATGATCTTCCATGTATTGCTAAGACTAGAATTTTCATACATAGGCAGTAAAAGTTGGTACAAGAGTGCTGTGAAACAATACTCGTGCCCAAGATGAAAAAGACGGGCAACACAACTGGGGGAATTCGTGCTTACATTTTCTACTTGTGTTTGTGCGGGCATCTTCACCTTCCCTAAATCCTTGACAACTCATTGAGTGTTACGTTGTTTAAAGTGTAGCAAGCTGCAATAAAGCAAAGCAATCACACTGAGTTGTAGGTCTTTGTTTACATAACACATTATGTTCTTTAGAACTTTGTGTTTCTAGAAACTAAGTCCCGATCATACTTGCTTACGAAATTGAAGTGACCAGCTGTGTAAGCAGAGGTAGTTTTTCAGAGTGTGCATGTGTCCCAGCTTTTCTGTTCATTTCTTACACAAATTTCTGCACACTCCGGTGCATTCTTGCCCATGTACAGCTCTTGTCCCCTGCTTCCTACCATGTCGTTCTTTTTTCATATTTTTTAAACAAGATATCATTCCAAACGTAAATCCTCAACATGCAAATGCGGTAGCACACAGCCGCTGTGGCACAATCATCTCAAACTTATTGGCCTTAGGAGTAAATAACATCTAATACTCCTGAGCAGCAGCTACGACAGTTTACATCAGCCAGCCAGAACAGAAAACCAGGAGGTTTCTTCACAGACCTCCTCTTGCTTCTCACCACATGGTGCTCAATAAACGTTTCACAGAGACACAGCGCGGCTAAGCCTCCTCCTCTTCTCAGAAGCCAGGATGTACCTAAAACAATTGCAGTATAATTAACACAATAAATGCAAGGTGAGCGTTTGTCTCGGCTTGTTCATCACATTTGCCAAGTTGTTGCTACAGCTATTACGGCTATCTGATCATCTGTGAAAAGCGCAATTCTATCCTCAAATGTATGGCCCGTCAAACAATTCGCAAGCACCATTTTCTTTGGCCCCGCAACGTCAGCAGTGACTGCTTTGAGTGTAGATATCCTTCAGCAGCACGTAATCTCTAATTCTTCGGGGCATTTTCTCCAAGTCCCGGCCTTTAGGTTCCCTCCTACCCTCCTGGCCTATCCAGTAAGCGCGCCTGGCTAGCCATTGCAGGCTTGGCGGTGACACTTTGTCAGACCCTAAGCCTGCAAGCCGGAATACATTGAGCAGCTTCCGGTCCCCACGCTCCATCGCCCAAGCAACGTCGTCCTTGCCCGCTCCATCGCGAGATCCGTGAGGCGCTCCAGCGGCGAGAAGCATGTCGGCGATGGCGTGCCGTGCGCCATACCGGGCACACAGCCATATGGGGCAGTCGGCAAAGCACGTGGTGCCACGCAAGCTGGCATTGTGAATGAGAAGGAGGTAGACGAGGTCTCGTCGTCCGTGCTTGGTGGCAAGCCAGAGGGGCGTCTTGCCGAACATGTCCCGGCGGCACAGGCGGATGCCTACAGAGAAAAAGTTTCATTACGTACATTGCTCTGCATTGACATGTTTACTTCTGTTAAGCTCTTCTGTGCTTAGATGAATTTGTGTCCATTCTTCTCAATACGGAAAGGCATAATGTGGTGCTGGCTTGGAAAATAAGTGCTCAGGAAGGGGCTCAAATGATGGACAAATGACTCAACAAGGAAACTGTGATGGTGGATTAGCAGACTTTTGGTCTTCACAAACCACTCGGTGGGTACAGTGATGAACTCAGGTGACGTCACCACGGTGACTTAATTGTCATTTTACTCTAGCTCATGCGTTCGTGAAAATTTTGTTTCATAGCACACACGTCATTTTTAGGCATATGGATCAAAGGTTATGTGCAGTCCCATAAGCACTTCACATTAAGGAAAACTATGATCTTTGCATTTCCACTTCATTCATCAACCAATCTCCGTGGCTGTCAAATTGACCTCATCGATGAATGTGACAAATCTAAAAATAAGTTCCATTTCCAATTATATTGTTGAACTGGAAACTTTCCTGCTCGAATACGGTTGAACAACAAAGTGTATGGATATTTTTAGGAACTTAGTCAATTTTGAAGGGCAATTTGACCATATTCTTTGTGGATATTGATCTATTTCAAGCTGAGTCATACTTCAGTATAGCTGAATTACAGAGGTCATGGAACTTTCTTCACATAAGAATGTGCAGTTATGCATGCAGTTGACTACTTGTATTCTTTCTTTGTGCGTATAAGTCCATCAGTGGTTAGTTTTGTCTTGTGTTGTGGTCTCTTAGTGCTGCTCTTTACCCAGAGTTTACAACTCCACACTCTAAACTGAACAAAATGCAGGCATGGAACTGGCATGGCAAATTGGCGAATTTATACCCGCACCTAGACTTTCCATGCAAGGTAAACCTGGCACATTAAACAGTCCAATTGTGTGGTGCAAAACCCATGCTGGCCCTTGTAACGTGTGAATAGGCAAGGAAAGAACACACCCCCTCCTAAGGGTGCAGACATTGTTCGGGAGGCACTGTTTGCAAGTGAGAACCAAAAGAGTCTATTATCCCTCCAACACACAAGAGCCAGTGGAGCCCTAGACTGAGGTCCCCACCCAGAAGTGCCGTTAAAATACCTGCTTAAAAAAAAAAATATGCTCAGAGCTCCAACAGCCGAAATAGAATTTGGAGCAATTTTTGGAGCAGCGAAATCTTACTTTTGCGGCACTCAATTCCAAATTTAGAGCACTATAAAAAAGAAGGCTCCCACTGCCTAAGTCCCTTAAATCCTGCAGAGTGAGTATGAGCACTGTTATTTCAACAAAAGTAGTACTTTGAACCACCCCATTCAGCAACACATTGGCATTTGCCACACCTATAAACTTCTTTGCAGACCAGGATTAAGATGTGGATTTGCCAAGCTGGCGACCTTGAGATTCTGGAGATTCGTAAAACTGAAGAGTAGGGGTGGTGAAAAAAAAACTGCCGCACAGTTCTGTTTGATTTTTTAGTACACCTGAAGCGTCGTACACTGCCCTAAGTGCTGGCCAGTAGCATTTTTAGACGTCAGCGATCAGATTAGTACTCATAATTATGCAGCGTATACAAGCATGATTATTTAAACAGTGCTGTGTTCCGTGACTGGTGCTAACAGCCCCTTCAAAATCTTAAAACTCATTTCCGCAGGGCACCGGTGTACTGCGGCAAATGTAGCATTCTGCACGGATCAGAACAAGGCCAAGAAATTTCCAAACTGTTACACCCCCCTGCCTTCCCCTCCTTCTTTTTTTTTTTTTTTTTTTTTTTTTTTTTTTTACGACCAGGTTAGGTTTAGGGCACAACACGACTCATTTGCAAGGTGCATTTGACTAGGCAGAGTAAGAGCGGCACATACCTATTAACCCAGCCGTGGATAGAAATGGCTGGGAAATGATTGAGAAATGATTGCTGCGGCTATCTATTGCATGTGCTGTTGCTATGGCAACCACTGCAGTAGCCAGCAACACCGTTGTTCGCTGAACCACGCAGTAAAAGAGGCATACGCTTCCAGCTTTATTCGCTAACATACCGCAGGCATGTTTCCTGAGCAGCGAATTTATATTTCTCGCAAAGGGTTGGTGGCTACGGCAACGCATTTTGTCTTGAAGTTGTGTTGTCCCGCCGATAAACTTCCACTGTGGTCAGCGGACCGATATCAACGGCCGCACGACATTGTTACCTTATCTGGTTGCTCGCGAGTGTCGTAACCTAATGTGTATAATAAAATACATCGTGGGTTAGGGTCTGGGCACGTGGATCCCTGAATTGATTGAGAACAACCTACAGGTGGCAAACGTGGCCTCCATTTCTAGCTGAAATTAGCGCAACTGAAAAAATTTAGAGGTCGGTCGGGCATTTTGGTGCAGCGTGGTGCAAATTCAGCAAATTTCTTTGTTTTGGCACAGCTCGGTGCATAAATGGGGAAGTGTATCAAATTGGCGCAATTGGCACAGCTATTGCACCCCTGTATGCTGAAACAGAAACATGCCCATACGTGATGACTGTTTTTTTCCAATAAATTATACTTGCAATGCCTAGTTTCATCGTGTCATACTACTGTTAATGCTTCTAAATATATGTATTTTTCTCACTCTTGTCAGTACTACACCAGCCAAGTTATCGAGACCAGCTAAATTGTTAGTACTGAACTCTTAATGAAAAAATATGGGGAATCGAATCAATCCAGGCGCATATTTTTTGTTCGGCAGTATGCAGAGCAAACAGATGTTAAAACACAAAGCCAACAGGTTGTTGCATAATGTGTGATGTGAAAATTAAGCCATCACCAGTGATCACATTTGCATGCAGCCAGAGAGTAAACCTGGAAGAAAAAGAACCAAAAAAGTGCAATGGTGAGCGACAACTTACTAGGGTTTCGAAGGAGCATCTTTGCTATGTCAACATTTCCCAGGCGGCAGACAATGCACAGCGGTGGTTCCTCACGGCCGACAGTGTCTCGGCTGAACTGATTCACGTCAGCTCCGAGGGACAGCAGAATCCGCGCAGTGTCCCATGCTTTCCTGCATGTAAGTGATGAATCATAGATCATTCAGAAATGAAGATCACTGACAAATGATCAACCACAGACTGTTTGTGACTCCACAGATCATTCACAGATGGAGATAGTTCAGGTCATTTTTGAGTCCGCAGATCATTCACAGATTATACAGAACAGATAATTCACACATCATTTGTAAACCCACAAGACATTCACAAATGAAGAGCTTCTTGACTTCAGTGGGGCAGTTTCGTTTTTATGAGGGTCCGTGGTGGGCAAGAATTGAGAAATTATTGCGAATTCATTGAGTTGTAAAGCATACAAGACGACAGCCATATGGAAAGGCTGGCCCGAGAAACGAGAGTAAAGGGTTAAGTTAAGACCCTCTCTTGCCTGTATTATGCAGTCGGCTCTTATTCCTCATTGGCTGACAAAAGCTCTTACATTAACTTCATGGCCAGTACAGCCTGAAGTGAGGATGATGAGACATCGATTTGATGGTAATACAAGCTTCATTTGGCAGAGACACGCGCCCCAATTTCCCAGTTATGAGAAATGATTATTTTACTTTTTCATCAAACCGAATCCTTAGTGGGATAGTGTATACATAGAAGAGAAACGCCAGTGTAGGGGCCAGATGGTTGCGTATAATAGAATTTGCAGTGCACTGCTCTAACACCAACTGAAAACAAAAGAAACACATGTATGTACACAAGGCGAGAAGTACACAAGGTTCGAATCTTCCATCATCGCATTAGTGTGAAACAAAAATCAGGGCAACGTTTGATTGGCATACCAAATCATGTAAGGCACTGAATTGAAGCCCCATTTCTAGGTTAAAAAAAAAGTTACAGTTTGTAAAGGATGTTAACTAATCAAACAAGGCAGCCGATAGGTATTCGCCTAGACAGCTGCGAGAAACCGAGTTCGTCTCGTGACGAGGGTCAGTTGATCACAGGATCTATCAACGTTGCGCAAGGAATCACGAGGCACTGCAACTACTGCATAGAATCACCGGCTGCCAGAGGGGTCATTTCAGACCTGTGCGCCCTGTACGATCATTCCAAAGCAGCACTGAAAAACTCACCTGCACAGGGCGGCTCCAAGAGGCGTCGCTCCTTGTAGCTTGGCGTTCACGTCGCCTCCCGAGGAGACGTGCCTGACGATGGCTTCGATGTTGTGGCTGGTCACGGCAAAGTGTATGTCCGCAGCGCTACCCAACTCCACCTTCATAACGGCAGCAGGCTTGCCTGTTTTAAAATTAGAAAGAAATTGCGCAGACATCATTATTTTAGACGCTGTCGCTATGCAGCCACACTGTTTACAAAACCCACGGACGCAAATGCGCCTCACTGGGTCGGTCGCGTGTTTACGCTACGCGATCGAGGAAAGAGGATCGATGGGCAACGCTCATTACCGTGGATTCCGAAAACGTCCGACTCCCACGGCCCCGAGAAAGCCTGAAGAGGTCCGTCACCGAAACTCGTACACCTCGGTGTCAGCTGCTTAGCTCATCGGATTTCAGCCTTTCAACTTCAACTGTTAAGCACAGGTGCACTGACAACATCAGTCGAATGAATGCACAGCGTCGTAATGTTTACATGCGCACGACCGCGACTCCAGCCAGCTACGACAGTCGATCCATTTTCGTCTCCAAGGGCGCATTGAATTGACGAGAAAAGCGTGCCCCAGAACCGTAGAGTTAATATACAGACTATAGAGAAAAGCTGAGCGCTGACATCTTGGAACTAGAGTGTACTAGAATGGGGGAGTGGGTCCACTGTGGCCGGCGGCAAGCGGTGCGGGTGAAGCAAAAACGGCGGAAAATTTGGTGGCGCTGCAGTAGCCTTCTCCTGAAGTGACGTCAGTTTCGGCGGGAGCGTGCGAGTCGTGCGGCGGTTCGGGCCGCACGACGCGCTGGCGGGGACGCTGAGCGCTCGATGTTGTCGTCTGCTCGACGCGCCGTCGTCTGTTCGATGCACCGTCGTTCGTGCGCTGTTTTCACAATTTGTCTCCTGGTTCTTTTTTTACACATTATTAGAGACAAAAACAAGTGACATGAAATAAAATGTATGCTTTTTTTCGTGAACGCGTAGGTTTGTATTTCCCTTTGAGCAAAGCCGTCTGGACAAAGAATACGCGGCAGACGGCACGTTTGCGTGCGCAGATATGTGTCTGCTGGTTGCATAACGGAGCGTTCCAAGCTGCTTCAAAAGATTAGAGGATGAGCACGTCTAGGCGTAGAAATTACTGTTGTGTCGTAGGCTGCCAAACCGGATACAGCAGAGTTAAAAACCAGCCCAAGCTCTCACTCTTTGGAGTACCTCAAGACGAAGAAAGACGCCGGCTATGGGACCAGAATCTCAACCGCGCTGATCGGCCCTTGCAAGTCACCGATGCCATTTGCGAGCTGCACTTCGAGCAAAAATACATACTAAGGCAATATGTACATATTATCGAAGGCCGAGAAGTATATATAGAGCGGGGAAAGCCGGAACTTCGCAGTGATGCTGTACCCATAATTATACCTCATCTCCTGAAGTGTCCTGACGAGCAGCCCACACCGGAGCAGTCAACGAAGAAGAGAGCGGCTTCACCACCAACCTGTGAAGACCAGCCGTCAAAAAGAACTGCGCTGCAATCAGTTGAGCCGCAACTGAGATTTGAAGATTGCGAAAGTGCGAGGCAAAGCGACAACGCATTTGAACTTGAAGACGTTGTCCGGCCAAACGACCACTGGGCAATGCACAAGTTTCGTCATTATGACGGAATTGCTTATGTTTCGGCCTCCCTAAGTCGTGAACTCGTAAGCATCGAAAAGACTGTGCTCATGAATTACGGTACCGACCGGAGTGAAGTGATTTGTCGGACATATGTTCGGAAGACGCTGATCTCCGAAAAGGTCGCCTATAACCTTGAAGATGCCAAACAAGTCCTGGACTGCGCAGAATCTCTTCACCCTTGCAGAGGAGCAGGTAGGGCGAAGGACTTCACCTATGACGTTCTTACGAAGAAACTGGAGCAGCAAATCTCTCATTCCGACGGCCTTGTCTTCAGTGTCACGTGCAAAGGAGCGGTTAAACAACAAGGTGAGTGCGGCAAACGTTTATTGAGACGTCACTTGTAATTGTACAATTAATCAATCAGTAACCTGTTTAATGCTAGAACATTTGTGTGGCCCCTAATTTTTGTAGTACTCATTAACATTTACGAAAGAATAGTTTGCCTACAGAAAGTGAAAGTGCATAAATTGCGTTTCAAACATGCATGGTAAAAAACTGGAAGCTCTTCATAATTTTTTTCTCGTATACTTCCAGGTTCTTCATGCATTTCATGCAAGTACGTGAGGAAAGTAATACTCACCAGAAAAAGCTACCTAAAACGAAAAGAGCGAAGAAACTCAGTCTCCACCAAACTGCGGGTCCTGAGTCAGAGAAACAAGCGGATGGCGACAAGGCTGTTGGACATTGCTGGTCGTCTCGAAGAGATGAGGGCAAACAATGCGAATGTCGCGGATAAAATACTAGAGGATAAAATATCGTCACTACCGCGAAAGCAGCAGGCAAGTGTTCGCGCTTGCTTTCAAGCTGCCAAACAAACCAGCAAGCAGGGCATGCGCTACAATCAGGAGTGGATCCTCGAGTGTTTACTCATGAAACTAAAGAGTCCCCGGCTTTATCAGCACATCAGAAAGAACGAAATTCTCATGATGCCCAGCAACACTACTTTGAAAAGATACTTGAGGTCATACGAGTCGGCCTTCGGTTTTAATCAAGCAGTAATGAACACTCTAAAGAAAAAAACCGCGAGCATGTCAGACCTCGAAAGACACGGCGGACTATTGGTGGACGAAATGAAATTGTCAGAACATTTCAATGTGACGGCGTCTGGCCAGATTCAAGGCTTCGTGGACCTTGGAGAATTTACGAAGCCCGAAGACAAGTACCAGCAATGTGATCACGGCATGGTCATCATGTTTGTGCCTTTCGCTGGAAAATGGAGCCAAATTGTGGGCGTTTTTGCGACAAAAGGAAATGTGAGAGGAGACATTTTATTGAAAATTCTCATGGAAGCTACCATCCTCGTGGAACAGGCGGGCTTGTTCGTCGACCACATCACTTGTGACGGAGCCCCCTGGAATCGAAAAATGTGGAAGCTAGCGGGGGTGTCGGCGTCATCGAAGAAAATAAATGGCGCCATACAGCATCCTGTCGACGAGATGAGGAAATTGCACTTTATCTCCGATTTCCCGCATCTGCTAAAATGCCTCAGGAATGGTCTTCTCCAGAAAGGCTTTGCAACACCAGACGGATTGGTACGTATAGATTCATGGTTGACATTTTACAAAGATTGTGTTTTTTGCATACATTGCATTACCTCAACCTATATTTCTAGGTGTCTGTGCATCCGGTTCGGGAGGCGTACCTTCTAGACAGAAGTGTTAGGACACTGAAAGTTATGCCCAATTTGACCGAGACGCATCTGGAACCAAACTCATTTGAGAAGATGAGAACCCCTTTCGCCTTCCAACTATTCGGTCCATATGTCCTACGGGGCCTGGCCTTCTACAAGGAGGACATCGAGAGAAGGTGTGGCAGCATCGAGGCAACTCAGCTGTTCTTCTCGTGAGTTGCGCCTACGTTCCAAATGAATTAAGTGTAATCGTAAACATCTCAAACGCATGATGAGCGCTCTTCTGACATACATTCTTTTTGTTTATTTTGCAGGAAGATCCAACGACTGATCACCGTGATGACTTCCAGGTTTCGGGCCGAAGCGCTGAGACCAGCTTCTACAGACGTGGCATTCCTGTCCAATTTTCTGGACTTCCTGAATGACTGGGAATCATTCAGTGACAACAAGCGGCACTTTCTCAGCGAGTCCACTGCCATAGGTTTTAGGGTCACTATAGCAAATACCCTTTCATTGCTGAAGTACCTGACAGAGAGCGTTGGATTCAAATATCTCATGACATCTCGACTTAGCACCGATCCCGTGGAACATTTCTTCGGCATCGTTCGCCAGTCAAGTGGCTGCAACGCGCACCCCTCTCCGGATGAGTTTCTAATAACCGTCAACTGCTTGTCCTTTTATAACTTGGCGCACAGTGTGGACAGCGCAAACGCAAACCCTGACATGATAAACGCTCTTGTCACTGTGCATGACAGACAGGGTCTAAAGGTCACGCACAAAAAAATTGATGATCTTATATCACAGGGAAAACTTGGCGAGGTCGAAAGCACGATTGCCACGATGCCAGAAAAGTTTGCTGACCACATCGATGTGACTTTGGAGAAGAGTGACTCGAGACTCATTTACTACACAGCAGGGTACGTGGCCAGAAAGTGTGTATTGAAGTTGGCATGCGTACAATGCAAAGAAGTGCTTCTGTTTGAGAAAGCTGTCGCGGTTGCTGAACAGCTCCCTTCGCAATTCACGGAGCAATGCGACTGGGGTGGACTTCTGTACCCCTCACGACAGCTGTATGATTTCATTGCCTCACTTGAAAACTTGTTTACTGAATGTTTCAGTGTTTCCATGTTGCACACAGATAGCATCTCTGACATCCTTTCATTGGTGAAAACTAATTTTCTGAACTCGAAAGCGGTCGGCTGTCCAGACCACAAAGATGCAGTGAGCACAAAGCTCGTTTCGTTCTACGTGCTCACTCGCCTTCACTTCTTAGTGAAGGGAATGAACAGGGAAAACGCTTCGAAACGAGCGAGAGCAAAACACTTAAAGCTTAGCAGGACAACATAGAGCCGGACGTTCCTTGAGCGACGGTGTCGAAGTCTTTCGATGATATTTATTTTGTTTTTTATATTTATGCGAAAAGCTTGCGCAGTCAATTTAAAATAAAATATTTTGCGCATATCACTTCTTTATTGGTGTCTTTCAGACTTCCTATCTATAGGTGAAAACACGTTCATGTTTCGAGCAAATGTTTGCATGGACACGTACCGCAGGCACGAAGAGAAAAGGTAAAATATAACATATTTCATTAATACCTACAACGTATACCAGCACTAGATGCCGAACAAAAACTCATCATAAAACCACCGCGACGGACGTGCGTCCGCCCTATAAGTCATTTCCTACGAATAGCACAGTTGCCGTCCGATGTGACTAAACTTCCTTTGCCAACACCCTCACGTAATCGCAACAGGACTGGTTCAGTTTTTCAATAATATCACGCGTCCCTAACGAATAGCTGCAAATTTGCAGAAGGGTTCGCATACTTTAGCTTTAATTCTCGTGATAACAGCTGGTAACTTTAGTCTTGCATCATATTCAATTTGCTGCCGTGAGTCTAAATTTGCACCAAACGCAAACTTACTTATATATCCCAGTTATATTGACATTTTTAAAAGCATCGCAGTTAATGCTCATATTACACTTTCGATGCGTACGTTTTCGCAAAAGCCAAATTCAACTTACGCTCTTGATTGTAAACAATTACCGTGGAAATCACGGTACTTGCGTGCGTGACTACCTATACGAGCAGGGCGTTTCGCAATATAAACATTTAGATTTTGTTGAACTGGCGCGGAAGCACGGTGCGACGCCGTTCACGGCCACGCACGCACGAACGAAGCAACAACGCTGCGAGACTGCGCCAGACGCGCGAGCAGCACGCGAACCGCGCGAACTATCAGACTACCCACCCGTCGCGAACCGCGTGGCAAAGGGGACTTGTAACCATGGCAACCACGGCTAAGTCTTCAGGTGAAGGCGATGGTAGCGCCACCTGGATTTTCCGAAAAAAACG